CCCTTACTAGTCCCCATTAGCCAACGAGCCGTTTTAGGGTGGTCCGGCAGGAATATAAACATCCAGAGAATTTTCTGCAACAACAAGAAGAGATAATATGTCTGAAGCCAGCAGGCTAGTTGTGTTTAGGAAAATCACCATGGGATTTAAGATGAGGCCTTGATGTAATGCAATTGGTGGTTTATGAAAATTCCTTCAGACGAACCTCGGCCTTATAAACACGACCACATTCCTTGCTGGTGAATAACAGGCAGGGCCCAGTGGGATCATTTTTAAGTGTTCCATTTCAGCCTTTCACTTTCTTTTTTTTTTTTTAATTTTTTTTTCAACGTTTTTTATTTATGTTTGGGACAGAGAGAGACAGAGCATGAACGGGGGAGGGGCAGAGAGAGAGGGAGACACAGAATCGGAAACAGGCTCCAGGCTCCGAGCCATCCGCCCAGAGCCCCACGCGGGGCTCGAACTCCCGGACCGCGAGATCGTGACCCGGCCGAAGTCGGACGCTCAACCGACTGCGCCACCCAGGCGTCCCTCAGCCTTTCACTTTCTACCTCTTATGGGGGGAGGGGGGCGGGGGGGGGGGTGAAGGGGACTTCACAGCCACTGCTTTCTGTGGATGCCGTTTAAGGCTATAAGTAATAAAAGGGAAAATCCAGAAATAATTTGGGAAATTAGTCATCTGTCTTCACACTGTGCTCAGTTACAGGGTGGTGTTCCATGTAATGTCCTTATGGATCTGAAAAAAAAAAAAAAGTGGGAGTCTGGAAAGGTTAATAATCACTTGTGTAAGGGTCAGAAAGGTCCAGATTCATGTCCAGAAACAAGGGGGGGGGGGGTATGTTCCCATTTGTGCAAATGTCAGAATAATTCCCATGATGGAAAATTATGTTCTGGGAACTGGGAAAACATCTTGACTTTCTGTACGGTTACTAGTTTTATGATGCTAAATGCCAATAATGATGCTGTACTAGATGATGTTTAACGTGGCTTATTTAAAACCAGGAATACACAATCTATTAAAAGCATTTCCCAGTGCACACCTACACAAACATTGCTAATATCCACTAATAAGTGCCTCTCTGAGTTTTTCAAAGTGTCTAAAGGAGAATTAAAACGGGAAAAAAGTAGTCTCCAAATGTTTCTTATTTCTTTGCCAACTGCTATCATGATCAGTTTAAGACAGTGATTTTTCTCTTTGATGTTCTGTTAGAAGGTACCTCTTTTTTAAAAAAAGTTTTTAATCTTTATTTTTGAGAAGGGCGGGGGGCAGAGAGAGAGGGAGACACAGAATCCGAAGCGGGCTCCAGGCTCCGAGCTGTCGGCACAGAGCCTGATGTGGGGCTCGAACCTATGAACCGTGAGATCATGACCTGAGCCGAAGTCGGACGCTTAACCGACTGAGCCACCCGGGCGCCCCTAGAATGTTCCTCTCAAAATAATAGGGGCTCTGAGAGGATGGGATGGGAGACCTGCCTCAGAAAAGAAAAGACGGAAAGTCTTTGGAGTCCTAAGGAATCGGCATGGTCAGCCCTGGAGAAACCTCGGGCTTAGTTAACAGGCCACGTCAGATTTTCCTGCAAACCTCCCGGCCTCTGACGCCGTGTTCCTCAGGCAGTCAAATAGCATTTGGCATCGATGGAAAGTTCTTTTTGTCTGAGGACAGGAGCTCAGAGAGAATCGTGCAGTTGGACCCAAGGGGTTCCTGAGATTTTAAAGATTTTAAAGAGTAGGGAGCGGCTACTGCACGGACAGGCAGATACCCGGGCTGCAGAAACACATCTGTGTCGGTAGGGTGCTTCTGGTCACAAGGTAGGGAACACTCAAAAGCAGTTTAAACCAGTTGAAGAAGCTCACGCTTTTGCGTGCTCATAAATCACCAAGGCTCGGGGCGCCTGGGTGGCTCAGTCGGTTAAGCGTCCGACTTCGGCTCGGGTCACGATCTCTCGGTCCGTGAGTTCGAGCCCCGCGTCGGGCTCTGGGCTGACGGCTCGGAGCCTGGAGCCTGCTTCCGATTCTGTGTCTCCCTCTCTCTCTGCCCCTCCCCCGTTCATGCTCTGTCTCTCTCTGTCCCAAAAATAAATAAACATTGAAAAAAAAATTAAAAAAAAAATACTCACTTTAAAAAAAAAAAAAAAATCCAAAATCCCCATTGTCTTGTACCCCGAGAGGTCTGGAGACTGGACGTTCCCGGGGTGGTTCCCAGGCTTCGTGCCGAGCCCAGACCCACCTCATCTCCCCCTCCCGCCACCCTCCGCGGGGGTTTCTCCCTTCTCCGTGGCAAGTGTCACGTCCACACAGAGCATCTTTATTGTTGTCAGAGACCAGTTTTCCCGTCTTCTGCCTCCAGCTGCCTTCCCCGTGGCCATGATCGCGTTGCACCCACATCCTACCTTCAAGAGAGGCTGGAAGAGCGTCTCCTCGGCATGGGCACCTGTACGTGGAAGGCAGCCTCTGGTAGCAGAGCAGCGGGCATAGGAGGGGACGCAGTTGGGTCCCGGACACGCAAGAAGGAAAATCAAAGTCACGTAAAGCATATTTGAGGGGTTTTCTAAATTCTCAAGTTGGTCAACATACAGTGGTAGTTTTGGCTTCAGGAGTGGAACCCGGGGATCTGTCACTTATGTGTGACACCCGTGCTCATCCCAACAAGTGCCCTCCTTAGTGCCCGTCCCCCACGTACCCCGCCCCCGCCAACCCTCAGTTTATTCTCTGCACTTAAGAGTCTCTTACGGTTTGGCTCCCTCTCTGTTTTTATCTTATTTTTGAGATTAAAAAAAATTTTTGTTTCTTAACCTTTATTCATTTTTGAGAGACAGAGACGGAGCGTGAGTGGGGGAGGGGCAGAGAGAGAGGGAGACCCGGAATCCGAAGCAGGCTCCAGGCTCCGAGCCGTCAGCCCAGAGCCCGACGCGGGGCTCGAACTCACAAACCGTGAGATCGTGACCTGAGCCGAAGTTGGACGCTTAACTGACTGAGCCACCCAGGCGCCCCCGTTTTTTTTCAGATTTTTAAGAACAGGTGTGCTTTTACCTAGGCAACTGTATTATATATAATGTTACCTAGCAGTTGGCGATGGGCTGCTAACATATTCTCTCTGATAACCACCAGCGTGTGGTTGAATCTCTTGAGATCTGCCACTCACCTGCACTAAGAAATGATGCTACCCTCCTCTCTAAATGCGATTAGAGAAGTCGATTTTCTACTAAATTATCTAGCTAACATTTTACTTGAAAGAGGGGCACATTTGGGGGAATGTGCCACTCTTGAAATATTGGACTGGCAAATGTAACCTGGCAAAGTGACAGCAAATATTCCAACTCCTCACAATAATAGTAGGGTTTTCCTATGGGATATCCTATATATATCCTATCCTATATTTAGGACACTTAGGTCAGATTCCACGAAAACTCAAGTTCGTCCTGTGTTACTAACTGTTACATAAAGAGGATGAAGACCATTAATTAACATTAAAATAAGTCCACAATTTTGGCACAGGTCTAACCTGTGAACAAAGACATAAAGCAGGAAGAATTTGGTGCTGCAGAAAAATGGAGTTAATTTTTCTATAACAGCAAATGTGAATTTCTTTCTTGCGATTTCACCTCTCACTTGGTTAGGTCTTCATAGAAGAACTTTCGATCTGTGATCTCATTTTACCCTTATTTAAAAAAAAAAAATCTTATTTTTGCTTCTTTCTACAAAATTATTAACCACATTTCCCCGACTACAGAAGCTAATCTCCTTTGCCTAAAGTCAGTTAACCAGGAAGGAGAGATCCCAAAGTCTCCCGTCCTGGAACCTAAGTTATTTACAGCCAACCACCAAGAACTCCTAACTAATGATAACATCTTCCTCTCTATTTAAAATTTCTCTCTATTAGAGGATTTGCAGATCCTCCACACAATAATTTTCTACAGCCAGATCTATGCTGTGGCGTTTTTAAAAAAAATTTTTTTTAATGTCTATTTATTTTTGAGAGAGAGACAGAGAGCGAGCAGGGGAAGGACAGAGAGAGAGAGAGGGAGACACAGACTCTGAAGCAGGCTCCAGGCTCTGAGCCATCAGCACAGAGCCCGATGCAGGGCTCGAAACCACGAACCGCGAGATCATGACCTGAGCCGAAGTCGGATGCTCAACCGACTGAGCCACCCAGGCGCCCCGATGCTGTGGCACATTTGATAGTATATTGTATTAGTAACAAATATTCTCCATATGCCAGTATGTAAGAGTAAGTAACATCTACTTTTTACATGGGAAAAGCAGTATGATTTGGAGATATGTATCATGAAACAGAGTCCATTTGAAAAGAATTTTATCAAGCTCATCGCACCCAAGAAAGAATAGCTAGAAGCAGATTCTGTTCGGAGAGCAGGTGACATTTCCTGGGAAAAATTGCGTCATCACCTCTAATTCTGCTCTCTAGAGATAACCGTTATCAACATTTGCTATGTACATCCTTCTGGTTTTTTCCTATGCATGATTTTGTATATATGGTCATTTCTCTTTCCATAAAAATGGTGTTAAACTGTATATACTGCTTTGTACCCTGTACATGTCATGTAGAGGTACACCGTTAACATTTTCCATGTCAATAAATATTCTTCTATGGCTTAAAACAAATCTTATTTTTTCTTACGGTAGACTTGCGTAAGTATACCTGTCAGGAGCAAACAGCAGCCAGGGTGACTCTAAAATATTATTTCCTAAAGAAAAACAATTACATGATGATATTTTTGTAGTTGAAGGCATGGTGTCCTTTAAGGTATTACTTTGGGGGACCGCGTATTATTCAAACGGTACTGAAATCGCTGGAAATAGGTTGAGTTTCTCTTTGGCGAGTCCATTGATACCGTTTTGTGGCCAATGTCTAGAACTGCAATCACGAAACCAAAATGATTTCATTTCGTTTGCAAATGCTTTGCAAAATAAAATGATATTTGTCCTAACTTTTGAAAGTGTCTACAAAATAAAATAACAGAGCATGTATTAGTTTTCCGGCTTTATTGAAGCATCAGCCATAAATAAAAGTGTATGTTTTAGAAATGTGCAATGTGCTGATTTGATGGTGCCCCTTCTTCCAACCCCTGACCATCCTCCGACCTCTTTTCCCACTGAACCCTTTGGAACCACGTTTTCTCAGGCATCCTCTGCTTCCAGGACCACCTGGTCAACGCGCATGTGTGGGCCTCCTGCCCCTCCTTCTAGGCTTCTGCTTTGACCTCAGGGATGGGGCTCAGGAGCCCATGGGCCACTTCTTCCTCCATTTGGCCAAAGAAAAGCTCAGGGCACCCGGCATCTCTTGAAGATGCAAAACCAGCATGGCAGCCGTGCCCTCTTCCAGGATGCACCAAAGTGGTCCCAGGATGAGTGGAGTAAACCCTTGGACGCCAGGGAAGCTGCCACGGCCCTAGAGAAAACTGAACCAGACGCCTTTGGATCTGCACACCCAGGGGTCTGCCCGCACAGACCCCCACGTCTGTGGCTTCAGAGAACTGCTTTCTGGATAAGGAGGTGAAACTCATCAAGAAGACGGGCGCCACCTGACTCACCTCCATGGGCTGGTGGCCCCCAGGCTGGGCTGGTGGAGTATCTCTTGGAAAGGCTCAGCCTTGAGCATATATAGGAGCCTCTGATCCTTGAAGTCCCCTCTGGCATCCCCCTGGTGTCAAGGCTCCTTGACACGTCTCTCTGTAGCCACTGGCAGCTTTTCAACCACCCTGGAGTCCTCTCCCAAGCTGTGGACCAAATGAAACAATAAAGCTTTTTCCAGTAAAAAAAAAAAAAAAAAAAAAAGACAAAAAGCCGCATATAAGTGGATCCGTGCAGTTCAAACCCATGTTGTTCAAAGGTCAACAGTACTTATTTCCAATTGGACCACTTGCCTATTGGTGGAAAAATTAAGGCAGAGTCTCAAAATTCACTTTATAACACAATTAAGCTCTTAGACCCTGATAATGATAGAAGGTTTGGCATAGAGAATAACGGCTTTCATAGGTGATGTCTCCATCATAACTGCAGGCCGAGCTATCCCGAGGATCCCAAGAGAGGCCCACGGGATTGCCGATGGGGGATGCCATTTCCATGAGCGCGTTGTCGGCACTTTCCATCAAAGCATGATTCTTCAGGCTAATAAACCGGTAAATAATGTCCTAATGAAAGTTCTCCTAAAGACAGAAAGAGATCGTGAAGGTGAAGAAAACCCCGAAGCTTCTAACTGTACGAAATTATACCTAATCGTCTGCTGAGGGCTTCATAAAATTCACGCCTAAGCTTTCTGTTTACTATTTTTAACTGTACATTACCTGAAACACATTTCATTAACTGGTCTCTTCTCTTCTAGCTGATCGTGTTAAGTAGCCCGGGTGCAGGTGTTTAATGGCTGGTTCAGACCATTTTGCTGTTTACCAGGAGCACTTAACGTCTGAGTGAGTCTTCTCAAGGCTCTCCTGTGCTCTCTTCCCCCGTGCGCACCGACGCCCCCCAGTTAATCCCCCCGGCGCTCAGAAGCAGCCATCCACCATGTCGCTTTCTTCCCGTGCTCACCTGTTTCCCTCTTCCGAGCCCAATTACCAGCTCTCCACGAGACTCAAAGGGCCCTTGTATAGTGACAGCACTTCAGCCTCGGGGAGAAATGACAGCCGACCTCCTAATAGAACCAGAAGAGAAAAACCACACGGAGCAAATTGCAAGGACTTTCTCACAGTATCACCTGGGCTTCTGAGCACCTGCTCCGGGGGGGGGGGGCACAGGGCCAGCTCAATAGCCACGCCCCCGATAAGCCACGTGTCCGTTGTCCACTGCTGTCCACTGCCGTATCCGGTGACTTAATAATCAACAGCCACTGAGTGGTTCTTGCTCCTGCAGTCTGGGCAGGGCTGGATGGGGACAGCTTTTCCCTCCTCTGCATTACATGGTGGGGGAACAGCTTGAGTGGGGGCCGGACGACCCGCTTCCAAGATGGCCTGTGGATGCCGGCTGTCGGCTGAGAGTTCTGCCACGGCTGTCTGTCCACCTCAGCCCTCCTCTGGCGGCCTCCCCTGTGGCTGTAGGGTGGGCTTCTCGCAGCACAGTGGTCTTGGGGTATACGACTACGGACTTCCCTCAGAGCCCCATGTGAAGCTGCCGGGATTTTTTAAGCCTTAGGCTTGGCAAAGCACCACTACCCTCTCTTGGTTAAGGTGAATCACAAGGGCACCAGATTCCCCAGGGGGAAGCTACATAATGGTATAAATACCAGGAGGTGTGACGGTTTCAGACACCATCTGAATCACCAAGAAAAGGTGATTCAGGCCCACAGGCTACCGGAAAAGGCAGGTTTATGTGTATTATAATTGGATATTTTTTCAACCAAAATACATTAAAATTTTCTTTAATGTTTATTTAGTTTTGAGAGAGATATATGAAGTGTGAGCGGAGGAGGGGCAGAGAGAGAGGGAGACACGGAATCGGAAGCAGGCTCCAGGCTCGGAGCCGTCAGCACAGAGCCCCACGGGGGCGGGGCTCGAACTCACGAACCGTGAGATCATGACCTGAGCCGAAGTCAGACGCTCAACCAGCTAAGCCACCCAGGCACCTCCCAAATGCTTACATTATTAAATAGAATTTACTGTTTCGGGGGCCACATTTTCAGGACCTTTGTGGCTGAATGGAATAACTCCGCTCTTACTGACTCTGGACATGAGACATCGCTGTATGCTTCACCCTATGTGTACAGTTTGAGATTTGTACCTTTTGGTTGATTGGCAAATGAGCACAAGTTTCAGTGGACAGGACCCCCGGCTTGGCCCACCCAGTATCAGGGCCAGACACGGCCTCGGTGGACAGCAGAGAAGGCTAGTGGGCCAACTACCAGAAGGAAGGAGGCCCCACCACTTACTTCATGGGCCAAGCTCGATAATGCAGGTGTTGTTGGGAAAGACCAATAGGACCAAACTGAGGGTTGCAAGGCAATAAAAGAGGAAGGTGGGGCACCTGGGCGGCTCAGTCGGTTAAGCGTCTGACTTTAGCTCAGGTCCTGATCTCACCGTTCGTGAATTCGAGCCCCACATCGGGCTCTGTGCTGACAGCTCGGAGCCTGGGGCCCGCTTCGGATTCTGTGCCTCCCTCTCTCTCTGCTCCTCCCCCGCTCACATTCTGTCTCTCTCTCTCGAAAATAAACATTAAAAAAAATTTTTTTTTTAAATAAAAGACAAGGAGACAAAGTGGGCAGCTGAGTAGAAGCAGCTGACTGTTGCTCTGCAGGATAAGAGAAAAAAGAAAGCTATGGATCTTCTTGTCAATTCGAAAGAGCTACACTACCTTTCCTTGAAGGAAGGGTTTGAGCTTCATGCAAGAAGGCTGTTAAGAATTCTTGTGTAAGGGCGCTGAAGCTGTATGTTGAAGGAAAGGCCTGGGCGATTTATTGCCCTGTGTCCCCAAAGGGGATGCCCCCCACTCCTCACTGAATGACACACTAAGGAGTCAGACGGTGGTGTATTTCACCTGTGAGTATCTTGGGCCTCCGAGAGAATTTGTGCTTTCCAAAATTTTTGGGCCCTTTTTTCCTAGGATGCTCAGTGGACATTACATTATGGGCGCCATATTTTTGCCTCCTCCAGTTCCACTAATTCCATGGGCCAAACTGGCAAACGTAGTTGGGTGAAGATTTCGTACTGTTTCCAGGTTTGAAGCCCAGACCAAGTGGATAAACTTCTACTGTATATATGTTAACATGTTAGGGTAGCCAGGAAAGTTCCCTCGCTTACAGGGAGACTGAGCCAGAGGTGGAGAATGTTTGAAATAGGGACCGTCACCGGGAAGTCCACGCGAGGGGAGCACCTCCAGGGGTCGGCCTAGGAGGGATGAATATAAAGAAACAAATCACGGAAGAAGCACGGGAGTGAATTAATTTTGGCGGGTGTGGGATGTGGGGAGGCAGAATCGCTACCTTAGGCGTCCTTCTCTGTAGGGCTGGATCCTTTTGTTCGCCTTCTCCTGATGTAGCCACGAGTCTCTTGTGGATGAGGACCAGTAGGCAGAGAAGCTTCTGGAAGGACTGGCTCTGCTAAGGACCGGCTAAACCTTGACTGATACGTCCTTCAAAAATACAAACGACATCTTAGAGATGATTTACCTTCAGCAGAACTGCATTACAAGAAGCACTAAAGAAATTCTCCAACCTGAGGAGAAATGTCACGACAACAATCCAAAAATGATTTCCTCCAGAAAATAGAGCAGAGGAAACACTCTGGGAAGAGGGAATGACTTCATTTTATGAGGTCAAATAACCTTGATACAAAACTAAACAAAGGCATTGCAAGAAAATTACCGACATCAACATCCCTCATGAGCACAGACATAAAAATCCTTCACAAGAATATCAGCACACCAGACCCGGACGTTTATAAACAGGATGACACATTTTGACTATGTAGGGTTATCTCAGAAACTTAAGGGTGGTTTAATGTTTTTTGTTTGTTTGTTTGTTTAAATCAATCTGTGTATTTTACCACATTAATAGGAAAAAAGCAAAAAACAATATAATCAATCTCAGTAGCTGCAGAGAAAGCATTTAGCAACATTCAACAGTCATTGGTGGTGAAAACTCTTCGCAAATAGGGAATCTGTCGAAGTGGAGTTGTAGAAGGAGGGAAACCAAACCTATACCATAGCAGATGTAACGTTTCTGGAATGCGCAATTTACCTAAGCGTGAAGCAGAGTGGGGGGAGGCCTGACAGAGTCCCAGAGCCTGTGACCCCGGGACATCTGAGTTTCCCAGCAATCTTGAGGCAGACCATGGCTTTCACGTATGGCTATGTGAAAGCCATTTCAGGATGGCTATGATTAGAACCCGGAACCTTTGAGGTCGAGGTAGCAGAGTGATTTAACCCAGGCAAGAGTTGAGGAGTGGCCTCATAAGGCTTTTCACCATGGGAGAGGAGCCCAAAGGGGACACTCTGAAGACGAATGGGCTGAAAGGGCACAAGGGGTTGGGTAGTGCTTCTACAAACGGTAAGTGTCCCCTGGAACCCTGGTTCAAGAGCCACATGCCCCGTCCCACTGGGCGCATCCGCATTTTGAGGTGAGACAATGGCTCCTGTTGGATGGTTGTTACCAGCTAAGTCTAAGAAGCATCGATGTGAACATACGCCAAAAAATACTTACGGCCACAAGGCTCTCAGAAAGTCTTTAGAACAGCTACATACGTTTAGTTATTCTACTGTTGCTTACACTATTTGTCTTTGATTTTGATAAATACCCTTTTTGAAGGACAATTTCCACTCATTCTTAGTGTCCTGAAGTGTTCCTTAAAAAAAAATCAGGGGCACCTGGGTGGCTCAGTCGGTTGAGCCTATGACTCTTGATTTCGGCTCAGGTCATGATCTCACAACTCCTGAGTTCAAGTCCCACATTGGGCTCTGTGCTGTTGGAAGGGAGCCTGCTTGGGATTCCCTCTCTCTCTCTCTCTCTCTCTCTCTCTCTCTCTCTCTCTCT